AAATTTGAATAATTAGAATTTCCTCAATGCTATTAACAAATACATTTGTTGAATCTCTGGATAGCGCAAATGTCCATCTTGATAAGTTAATAATACACAAATGCGCATTTATTGATTCTGTAAATCGAATAAATAGTAATAGTAAGAAGTGAACAATTTGCAAACGTTCATTTATTCATTCGTCAGATAGCACATGTATATTTATGGTTGCTTATTGATGCGCAAATGTCCGTTTGTTCCTTTCGAAGCTGTGTTAATTTGTGTTAATGACAAGCTGGAAATGTTTAAATGCTACAAACAACTATTGCGCATTTCGTGACTTTTTAGCGTAAAAAAGTGTCGTCATAATTTCATGAACCCGGAAAGATGTCAGATATTCTTTTGATGCTAAATTAAATTTTCCAAATTAATTAATCAACGCTTTCATAATATTCATCATTATTATATATTTGGTATATTAAGGCGGTAGTATTATCATCAGTGGGACATTCCCTATCATCCGATGAATGTCATTTCAATTACCCGAAAGAATTATATGCATGTTCCGATCATGACCTCATTTCACATGGCGCCATCATGTTACATATCATTTATGGCGCTAATGGTTAACAACATTAGCTTTATATTTATCAAATTGATAACGATTTGAAACGTGTTTGCACGTAAATACAACAGGGTCACGTTACGTGACGTCGTCATTTCCGATACTTTCTTCTAATTTCATGAAAAGTAAGAAAATGCGGAATTATTAGCGCTACTTTTACAATGGAGAAATGCTAGCTTCGGATATCCGCAAATCCGTAAATCTATTTGCGCAAGCGGAAAGTGATTCGAAACAAATGCGCTCATGGATTGAATTTGAATATCAAACATAAAAACAAGCTAATTTAATCAAATTGCGACAAGAGAGCGTTGTGGGTAGAACAATTTTTCCTTTTTCTATTTTTTCTAATTTTGATATTTCTATAGAAATCTCATCGTCTTTTATATTTAAAATACAATGGATTCTTTTAAAAGTTATCATCGAATAGATAAACGAGAAATAGTTGATAGATGAAGAGAACTTCCTTATTTTATCATTTGTGCACCAATCTTTATCACTACAAACATTCACAGTTCTCCTGGTTTCACTTTATCAAGTCAAGAGAGTTTCATACAAATAGAAACGGTTTCTCCTCCAAAATAAACGATCTTCCATCTTTCATTGAAAATTTCTGTGATAACCTCCGCGGCTGAAATTAATGCTATAGTTAGTCTGATAAAATTAATTGAACAAGGGAGAACCTTTGAGATTTGGAA